GAAGGCTTTTAATTGAAATAACATCAACTGTGGGTACTGATAGCAATTTTTAGAGTATCTATTTTAATTGTATTTTAATCATTTTATCTTTTATCGTATTTTAATTGAATTTTAATTGTTGTAAGCCGCCCAGAGACCTTTGGGTAGAGTGGGCGGCATATAAGTTAAATAAACAGACAAACAAACAAACAAACAAACTGTGGGCAAAGTGGAAGGAAGGCAGCAGGAAAAGAGGAAGACACAAAAATTGATGGACCGACTCTCTAAATAAACCATGAATTTGTGTTTACAAGAGCTGAGCAGGGCAACTGAGGACAGAACATTTTTTTGAGATCTCTTATTCATAGGGCCGCTGGAATTCAGAGGAAACTTGACAACACATAACAACAAATTAACACAATGCAGTTTGAACACGGAGCGCTCTTGCAGATGGAGAAATCTCCTCTAGGTGTCCGTTTATAAATCTTACTAACTAGTCACTTACTGAGAAAAGGGTCCAGGATTACACATTATTCTCTTGTGATGACACCCATATATATATATTTTTTAACTTCAGTTGCCTCTATTTTGAAATGTAGATGAGGTGCGACTGCCTATGCCTGATGTAAAGACACAGAGGCCTTAAAACGTGAGATTAAGACAGCCAGAAAAATGACTGATGAGGTGTCATCAGCTGTAAACAAAAGATCACAAGGCTCAGGGGGCTTATTGGAGCCTCAGATAGTGGCCCCTCACTATCAGGCATGCTATCAAAAGAATAGAATAATTCAATCAGAGCAGAAGCACAGAAGGGTGGAACCAGGACAGGAGATAAGGCGAAACTCAGAATAGCATCCAAACCCCAGTAAGGTTGCGTCAGTCCCCGGAAAGACGTTGTCCTCAAATGCTTCCAGGAATAGAGCTGGGCTGGGTGCTCAGATTTGAGTGAGTATCGTTGTTGTTGTATATATTTATATGTGACTCTTCCTCTAATAAGAGTCAAGGTCGCAAACGGTGGGGGCTGGGAGAGAGACTGATTTCAGGCCATAAGAGTCAAGGTCGCAAACGGTGGGGGCTGGGAGAGAGACTGGCCCGATTTCAGGCCGTGCCGTGAATTTCATGCTTCGGTAGGAATGGCAACCCGGGATTCCAGATCTGTCTTCAGTGCTCTAACCATTATACACCACTGTTGTGCGTGGGTGTATGCGATTCTCTATGCCTCTCTCCGTCTCTTGCTTTCTTTCGTAGCCCGGGGCATACATGGCTGATGTTTCTCTTGGGAAACGCTTGCAAATTGGAGCTGGGGAAAGCAGACTACAAATCCAGTCATGTCCCTACAGGCTAGGGGATTCTGGGACTTGTAGTCCACCATGCACGTTTTCAAGTTCTGGTTTGAATCGTTTGCTCTTTGTTATTGTCTTTCTGGACGTCAGTTTTGCCTCGCGGGCATTTAGAGCCCCTGTTTCCAAAGTCAGGTTGGCCATTGGGGCGTCCAACCGCCAGTGGGAGAGACATTTTTGCGATGTGGTATTTGTTGGGTCCTTTTAAAAGCTCTTGTACAGGTACTATTTTTTAGCTTTTAAACATTGTATTTTAATGAGGCACATTGCCTTTGGGTCCAAGGCAGGGTAAAAACATTTTAACGAAATCAATTCAGTAAATTAGAGTAAGAAATGAATTAGAGTCAGAGAAGTTGGTTCCCTTTCAATCAGTGTTATGTTGTTGTTGTTGTTTAGTCGTGTCTGACTCCTCGTGACCCCATGGACCAGAGCACACCAGGCCCTCCTGTCTTCCACTGCCTCCCGTAGTTGTGTCAAACTCATTGTGTTATATGCATGAGGCTAAATCCAGGGTTGGCCGTACCTAGAATGCACCTATTGAAATGAATAAACCTCGATTGTCACAACCCGAGTGCCATTGGCTAATACCCTGTTGCTTGGCATGGCAAGTTGCACTTGAGTAGGCGCATTGAACCAATGGAACTTACAGCAGTTACTCCCCATCCAATGGGCCTACTCTAGTGCTACTTGCTATGCTAAGGACCACAATTTCCAGCCATTGATTTCGATGGGTCCACCCTAGGTTGGAAGCCCAAAGGTTCAGCTGAGCTCCTTGAAGGATTAACTATGAATTGGTGTACACTCTCTCTTTCTTTCTCAATGATGCTAGTCACAAGGACGCCGTTGCATCTTAAGGGAGGCCTGGATTTAGGGAGTGAGGGGGTCATTTCCAATAGCAGCCCACAAGGAAGATCTAGGAAGCTGAAGCCCAATACTTCTCCCAGTGATGGAAATGACTACCAGCTGTTTCCATTCAACAGAGCAAACACAGCTAGAAAAGAGAGGAGGGAACCTTAAACGCCCTTCTTTATAGACTTGAACTCGCCCCCAAGCGAACACGCAAGGGCTAAAAGAAGGGTTTGTTGACCAATGATTGAACTCTGGATGTTGGTAGGATTTGTGCCTGAAAACCCAGGCTCCTTCGGGTTTTTTAATCAGATCATTCAGATTTCTTCTCCGGCACTGCTCCATTCATGAGCCTGGCGGGGGGACCTTCTGTGGTCTGAGGGAGAAGTGGATCTAAAAACAAACCTGCCTTTCTCCAAAGGAAAGGGAAGCAGAAAGGGATCTCAAGGAAGGTGAGGAATCTCCTGGGATGAAGAAGAATAGAAGACAAATTGGGGCGGAGTAGAGGTGAGGGAACCCAATGGATATTAGAATTTGGAGTCGTGAGAGTCTTTGCCTCAATCCACTCTGAAATCAGAACCAGAACGTGGGACAATTATTTTCTGGATCTCAAGTTTCAGAACTGATCAGCCAACAAGATCATTGTAACCTGAAGTAACTTTTCCAAGTTCTGGGTATGCAGGATTTTAGGGCTAGAGACACATTGATTGATTGATTGAGTGATCTATCTATCAATCGATCAATTGATTGGTTTGATTTGTACCCCACCCATCTGGTCTATAAGACCACTCTAGGCAGCTTCCAATATAACATGAAACAATAAAATAACACAAAATATTTCATAGATGATACAATAACAGATATAATACAAGACAGAAGAAATAAATGAAGGAAAAAGAAAAAGAAAACTCAGATATTAGCTGGAGGGAAGGCCTGAATATACAGCCATGTTTTTAATTGACTTCCCCAAGCAGGCAAAGACTTTTCTCTTTAGGCAAGCTTTCCCTTCATGACTGACTGTCTCTGTGTTGTGGTTTTTAAAGAGTGTGTTGTACCTTTACTGATTTGAGGTTGTTTTTGTTAGAACTTTTTTTTAGGATCTGTATCCTTGCTGTTTTCAACTTTAAAGGTGGTCTTTAAACGATGTAAGCCGCCCCGGGTCCTTGGAAGGAGAAAGGAGAAGTAAAAATACAGTATTTAAAATCAATAAGTACACAAGCCAAAGAATAAGGAGGGTGTTCCATCCGCTGGAAAACGATTGTCTCGGTCTTATTCCAGAGGATGTGTGTCTTATTGACTGATGAATAATAATCAGTTTGACAACTATTTTTAAATTAGGAGCCCCAGACACCGTCTTTACTGAGCAGCTAGAAAAAGCAAAAGTTTTGATGCCCTGTTGTGATGGTTTTAACAAGGTCACCCGTGGTTTCTTGACAATAGCTCCATCTCTTGCATCAGGTTTTTATTTCCCCCCCCCAAGTTTACCCCAGCTTGAAGACAGATGAAGCACAAAGGAAGTTACTTGGGAATAAGATCTTCTAAATGTAATGGGCTTACTCTTGAGTAGACATGCTTCCAATCAGCAAATCTTAGCTACATGCAGGATGCCTTAACACACTGGTTCTTAACTCAGGAGTTACTCAGGAGTTTTGGACTGCAACTCCCAGAAACCTTCACCACCAACTGTGCTGGCTGGGGTTTCTGGGAGTTGCAGTTCAAAAGCATCCGAGTAACAAAGGTTAAGAACCACTGCCTTAACACACCACATGCATGTTGGCGGAAACATTTTAAGCTACACTTTTAAAATGAATATTGGAGGCAAAGAATCCCCTAGCCAGCATGGATTCCGATAAGTGAACTCTTCAAAAAAATTATTTGAAAGCCGCTTTTTGAAAAAAGTTCTGCGTTTGGTCTAGAAGCATTTCTGTCGTAGGTGACTGCTAAATACACAATAGAGGTGAAATAAGCCATAGTAAATTCACTGAAAATTGGAAGCCGTTATTAAAATATGCCGACAAAATAGACTTTGAGACGTGTGGTTTGAAGAAAAAAAATTAGATTGTCGGTCGATATTTCTTTAAAAGGCCAGGGGGAATGGTATAAACGTGATTCGGAGAATTGTGGGGAATAGCTTTGTATGTATTATTTGTAATATGGTGGATTGTCTTTTCATTCTTTAGAAATATAGATAAATAAAGATTGTGCTCACAAAAAAATACACAATAGAGGTGCAAAACAAGTGTAATATGCTGCCAGTGGGTTAAAGTACCGGTCGGGGATTTGAGAGTCTGAATTCTAGTCTTCAGTCAGTTCCTCTCTGGCCTACCTCACAGGGTTGACGTGAAGAGAAAGTAGGAGAAGAGGGATGGAAAAATAATCAATCCATAAAAGATGAACAGATCAGGATAAATATACTTCCTTTTTATCGTTGTTGTTGCAGGTAGATTTGGATATGGTGGCGGTGAAACCCTCCGAGATGGACCAGGCTCCTTTTCAACTTGAACTGACAGAGCTCGGCATAGAAATCTGGGAAGAAGAGATTGACGAGGAAACTGTTGTTTTGTGTAAGGAGGGACTATGATTTTTTTTTTTAATGGCTAAGTTTGGGAATGCGCGGAAGCTGTGATTCCAGGTTTGCCAGGTCCTCTGATTTCAGAAAGTTCCGAGGCAGAAACTTTAGAGTGGAATTTGAAAAGTTGCTTTAAAAATAATTACTAGCCATTATAGCTAGGATTTTTAAAAGGTAACTCGACACGTTTTTTTCCAAAAGTAACTAAAGGCCCTTCTGAAGGTGCCATCCCTGAAAGAGGTGAAGGGGATGGCATGTCGGAATAGGGCCTTCTCGGTTGTTGCCCCCAACTTTGGAACACCCTCCCTAGAGAGATCCGCCTGGCTCCGACACTCTTGGCCTTTCGGCGCCAGGCAAAGACCTTTCTGTTCACCCAGCATTTTAATTAATTAATTTTAATGTTTTAATTGTTTTAAGAAATATTTTAATATATGGTATTTTACACTGTTTCTTAAAATGTTTTTAATGTTTTTAGGTCTTAATGTTGTACGCCGCCCAGAAGCCACTGGCAATGGTGCGACTAAAAAATATTGTAAATAAATAAATAAATAAATAAACAAGCAACTTTTCATTTAATGGTGAAACACCTCCAAATATCACAAGCCACTTGCTTTCAGTATGGAAACCATTCTCCTTTCTTCTGTCTTATCAGCTCTTCCACAACAAAGCATAGGGGACAGAACAAGCCAATACTTGGACCATGTTTGTTTTTGTTTTGTTTTGTTTTGTTTTGTTTTGTTTTTGGACTTATATACCGCCCCATAGCGCTACAAGCACTTTCCGGGCGGTTTACAATTTTTTATTATACAGGCTACACATTGCCCCCCCAGCAAGCTGGGTACTCATTTTACCGACCTCGGAAGGATGGAAGGCTGAGTCAACCTTGAGCCGGCTACCTGGGATTTGAACCCCAGGTCATGAGCACAGTTTTGGCTGCAGTACACTGCGCCACCTTTTTCTTCTATCTACTGTGCTCACCCGATCCACAACTCTAAAAGTAACTTTAAAAGTGAACAGCTCCACCACAAAAGTTGTGATATTTCTCATTATTAAATTACAGTTGTACGGGAACCTACAGAACTGTTGATACTAGGAAAATGAATTCATTACAAATAACTTGTAATCAATTACTTTTAAGCTTGGCGCAACAGGACACGCATTATAAAAATTATAAAGAACAGAAAACAGGTGTAGAAAGCACTCAGGGCCTTTGTCAGCGAATCCTCTAAATGATTTTATTTTGCAATTTGAATTTTGTTTGGAGATTGTTTAAACATAGTGTTGCAAGGAGAAACATAGAAAAATATTGACATTTAGGCTGTTTTGCATTCTATATCCTCTATAGCCATTGTTGTTGTTTAGTCGTTTAGTGGTGTCCGACTCTTCATGACCCCATGGACCAGAGCACGCCAGGCCCTCCTGTCTTCCACTGCCTCCCAGAGTTGGGTCAAATTCATGTTGGTCGCTTCGATGACACTGTCCAACCATCTCGTCCCCATCTCCTCTTGATATCTATTCCACAGGATTTGTCTCCTATGAGAAAACTAATTTTTTTCTCTGTAAAGGTGACCTTCCATATATCACAATATGGCCCCCTGGGGTTACCAGGTTGATCAGACATCTTCCCCAAAACACCATCGTCTTCTATATGTTCCTCTCACCCTGTAGAAAAAAAGATGATCTGTCTCTCAAAAAGGTTGCTGAAATAAGACCTTCCAAGGTAAAATACTGTATGTGTGTACTTCCCCCCCACAACCTCTTTTGGCTTTTGGAACCACCTGCCACTGGAATTTGGATCCTAGGAATTTCTCTTAAATGGAATAGACTGCCCTTGGGCTAAAAGGCATTCTCCACCCTCGAGTGAAGATAACAAAGGTAAAAATAATTTGTGCTTTGTTTTGCTCCAAGGTAGGATCATCAGGAATCTCGTGAAGAAAGTGAGGCTGCTCAGCACTCCTTGATAAGTAGCTAGGGGGCATTGCCCTCACAAAATTTCAGTCCCATGAGATGGTTGAGAATAAGATATTTTCCAGAACTGTCTCCCTTTTCCATCATTTTTTTTAACTTCCCATATTTCTCTTATTCATGAGAGAAGTTGTTTGCGAACCATTTTGGTGTAGTGTTCAGAGCAGACTTGGATGCTGGAGATGGGAATTCGAATCCCCTCTTGGCTGTGAAGTCCATGGGGCGGTCCTAGGCCACAGGCATGCCTCCTCAGCCAGACGTCTCTCTAATTACTCCCACAGACAAAGAACGGGTGACCCCAGATGACAGTGAGAAACATCTGTCGGAAGATGGCCAACAGGTTGGATCCCGGAGACCATCAACGTGGGAAGGAGTCGGGCCTGCTCCATATGAAGAAGGTTGCGAAGGGCCTGATGAAACGGCGCTTCAAAAAGTGATTGATGCGAATCAAAAAAATAGGCCCTCGAATGGTATATGCACAAAGCTCCAGGCAGGATTTCCCTCATCGTTTCCAAGAGAGGACCACAGGACGGCAAGAGGGCCATCCAGTAGAAGAAACGGGCTACTCCATTCTTTCCAAAGCTCTCTGAGAAACCGCAGTCCAGATGGATGTCCGTGATGGTAAGAAACAAGAGCCCTGCTGGTTGGATTGGGAAATCTTCCGGGATACAGTGCTGCCTCGCTAGACGATGATAATCCGTTCCACTGAAATCGCTGTCTAGCGAAATCATTGTCTAGCGAAAAGTAAATCGTCATCTAGTGAAAATCGGTTTGCAAAGCAGGGACCAACCGTTGTCCAGTGCAATTCCCCCATAGGAATCACTGTTTTGCAAATCGCTATAGCGATCGCAAAAAGTCAATGTCTAGCGAAAAAACTGTCATGGGGGGCATCAGCAACCACTGTGCAATTTGGTGGACGACCAGTTTGTTGTAAGGAAGGTCACAAAAATCAGAGCCATCGGCAGGAGAGTTATCACCTCTGGTAAGAAGAAACAAGGTATGCAGAGTCACCAGGTTACTCAGCAGGATCTCGGTTATGGAGATTCCAGGGCTAACAGGGGTGGAGTCCAATGATGATGTCACAGATGTGTCCTTATGATGTCACAGAGGCAGGGCAGTCAAAGGCAGGGATGGGAACTCGCCAGATCTGGACATCACACTTTAAGAAGGATGCTAACAAATTGGAACAAGTTTAGAGGAGGACGACAAGGAGGATCGGGGGGGGGGCTGGAAACCAAGCCTTATGAGGAAAGGCTGAAAGAATTGGGCGTGTTTAGTCTTGAGAAAAGAAGGCTGAGGGGTGATGTGACAGCACTTTTCAAACACTTGAACGGCTGTCATCCAGAGGAGGGGAAGAACCTGTTCTCAATCATCCCAGAGTGCCGGACATGCAACCATGGGCTCAAGTTACAGGGAGCCAGGTTTCGTTTGAATATCAGGAAAAACTTCCTGTTAGAGCGGTATGACAATGGAGCCCATGACTGCAAG